CGTCCGCGCAGGTCCAGGTGATGGGCTCCGTCGGGGATCACGATGGCCACGAGGGAATCGCTGATGTTCTGCGTCACCCCCCCCGCAGACCACGGATCCAGGCCGCCGTTGCTGTGGGGAGATGATGCTTCGTGAGGCCACGCTCGCACCGCCAGCGAAGCTGCAGCTCCCACCCGGCACCCACGGTGTTCACGGAGATCTGCCTTTGGCCCAACTAACACAGACCTCCCCCTGCACCAATGCCCTGTGTCTGCCCCTCTTCCTGGACGGGCTTTCTTGACAGGGATATGTGACTAGGAACAGCTTAAGTAAGGCTGCACTGCCCTCAAGAACAGTGTCTGTAATAGTGTCAAAGCCTCTGGGAAAAAAAAAAAAAATCTCATGAGTGTTTCCCCTGCAACTGTCATGAAAAAAGGTTCTCCTGCGGCAAAATAAACCCAAATTCCAAAACGCCTTGCTTTCCTTTTCCTACAATCTGTCATGAACTAAGTCAGCTGAAGCATTCCTGAATTTCCTCTACTTAATGCTGTCTCAGTCGGATACCAACCTGTTTTTGGAGCAGTCTAAAGCCCAGTCTAAAGCAACTTACTCCCTCCCCAGGCAATGAATGGATTTCAGAACCTTAGACCAGCCTGCAGAAAATGCCTGATCCATGGAGAAAAACAACAGCTGCATTGGGATTAGAGCTTTGCATCTCCCACCCTTAGTTTGGGACTCAGCCTGGCCATCCCTGCTGCCTCTTCTCTTCCTTTATCACTCCGTTCACCAAACATGCATCCATCTTCCTGCATGAAACCGCCAACATCCAAATGCTTCTGTAACTGCACAAATCCGGATCTACTCCCAAATAAGCACTAGCCCTGCCCGCAAAGGAGAGCAGTAGGGATAGAACGGTAGATTAGTGTCAGCTTTGAGGAACAAGATCTGATAAATGAAAACACTGTTGGACATTGGATATGCAGCTAGAAAAACACCACAGTGACAGCACCAGCAACCACTCAGATAATGAGCAAAAAGTGTTTGTGGAAATAACTAGAAGTAAAAACCATATAGAGCTTGAGCTACTATTTTGAATATGTGTCTCCACTGACAATAAAAAAATCTTGAATTTCTGTAATTCTCTATTTTCAATGGTTCTAAACATGGCTGAGATTAAGAAAGATTCTGTATCTGCAAAACAAAATACAGAGAGCTGCCCAATAAACAAAACATGTTCGATTTAAAAGGTCACCGGAATGAGCATTAGCACCAGGCAACAGGGAGATGAGTTGCCAAGAGACCCAAGACGGACACGACTTGTATCTCTGGTCACGGTGACGTGGAGACGGAGCGCACCACAAGCAACAAGCACGTGGAGACAGAGCGCCCAACAGTTTCACAGGGTAGGATTTCAACAGCGACTAGGATGGGTTATTGACATGCCAAAGCCAAGCAGGCACTGGAGGTGCTCGGCTGTCCACTCCACAGGAGTGAACTTTCCCAGTGTAAACTGAGGTTAACAAGAAAATAAGGTAAAATGAAACATAAAACTCAGCATTTCTTTCTAGCAGTGGCAAGGTGAACAAGACTTCGGAAATTACAAATTTCAATGCAAAGTATCAGCCAGGAAGATCAAATGAGATTTTTGTGACTGGCTTTTTCAGTGTACCGTTCTCCAATCCCATTTCAGCTCATACTTCAAAGATAGTACAAGTGTGACCTTACTTTTAGCACAGCAAAATATTGCCTTTTCTAATGCATCTTTAGAGCCTCCTCTGCCATTAAATCCTGCTCAGAATAAGCACCAATTTTACACGCTCCTAGCAGCACTGTGTGTATCATACTTAGTTCACACACATACACACAACTGCCTAGATTCATTTTCTAAACTTTTCTCCCCTTCTAACAGGCATTGTTCTGCCTGCTCTTTTGTTCCATTCCTTTCTTTTATGCCAGAAAAATCCCTCTTCTGCACAGCCCTAATACTCCTTCCAAACAGCTTTCATGGTCTAGATTATTTTTACCCTCTCCCTTCCCATTAAAAAAAAAAAAAAAAAAAAAAAGGGTATCTGGGTGCCCCAACTTGGAAGCAGGGCACAAGTTCAGCTACGATCTGCCCAGCTTGGAAAGTTCTAACTTTTGGACTGTGCCCACCAAATTTTACACTGTCTGGAATCTGGAATGTTTCTGGGTGCCAGACACAAGAAATACAAGCCCAATTAAACACATTCAAACTAAGGTCATCTTTCAAGACTATAGCAAAGGGAAATTTTTAAACACTTGATGAAAACAACTAAATTTTGAAATTTCAAGTTAGGCTCCTATTCCCACTGGCTAAATTTGACTATGACAGCACGTTAGTGGCAAGGCACTATGAGCTGCTGCAAACCTGCTGCTGCTTTACAAACGCGCTGAGGGCACTATGGCCAGGCAGGTCCCACACAGAGTATTTCTGTGCCAGTGAGTGAATGGATTCCAGTATGGGTATCTGGAGCAGAAACTGCTAAGACAAAACAGGACTGAAATCCCCAATCTTCTCAAACTAGTGTTTTAATAAAGGTGCTCAGGACAGGCAAGGAGAATCTGCATGTAGTCTAAGTAATACCCACACCCCAAGAAAAACTAAGTAAAACACCCCTGAAAAGGTGCCAAAGGGGCACTGGGAATCCTGAGCCAACACTCCGGAGTGCAGCTGAGCCCCAGGGTGGAATGTGCAGGGTGATCTGCCGTTAGCAGAGGGAGAAGCAGCACCGTTGAGTTTCAGCATCCTGGCCAAACCCTGTACTGGTTGGATAAATCTACCTGGCAGTGGCTCTGTTCAGACGAAATTATTCCGCCCTTCCTGTGCTAAACTGTTGTACAAGTTGCTCAACACTTTTACACGGCACTTTTTACCCTACGGGGGGCCACATCCCCTGGTATATGTAGAGTTTTTGTGTGTGTGTTTTTTTTTTTTTTTTTTTGCAAAGCACTCTTTGGTGTTTGTGGATAAAAGGCTCTTATATAAAATGTACAGTGTTGACAATGTGCCTGTTTGAAGAGAAACAACTCAGCTTGAGACCCAACGCTTTGTGTGTACAGCACTTACTTCTTTCTCATTCATTTGGTTGCTTTCAAGCTTTTCTCATTTCAAGCTCCTTCAGCTGGCATAAATTCTTAAACACTTAGATTTGTTTTTCTGTTGCTTACAAAGCAGGATTCTAGTGTACAGAACTGTGGGACCTTGGCAATAAGCAACAGTTTGCAGAAATTAAGCTAGATCAATAATTTTTCCTATTAAAAACGGTGGAATTTCTCACTTTGGAGCCGACATCCCGCTGGGGCAGAAACAGCAAGAGACAAATGAGAGGAAAGCAATAGGCCTTTGGAGCCAAAGGGACCAACGTTAACGGCTGAAATGCAGAGAATAATCCCCAATTCAAGGCAGGACTTTTTGCTTTTAAAATACACAGCTATTTAGCAAGTCCAAAAGACTAATTCTGATTTTTGTTTAAGGAAGTTTGTGTTTGAAAAGGCCCTGCACAATTTGAACAAGGGCAGAGGGCTACAGCTAGGAGCTGCCCACAGTGGGCAATGAGGAGAGGGAGTCAGAATTCCTGAGGGCACAGGCTCCAATTGGGCAGAAAATGGGTTTATTAAAGGCCTCCCTACCATGCAGCAACCTAAGGAACAGCCAGTTCTCGGCTGTTCAAAATTCCTATCACCTCCCAGCAAAGTACAGCGACATGAACCACCCTTTAAGGCAGGCAGAACAGAATTTAACCTCATTAGAAATAAAGAAAGCAAAGGCTAGCAGAAAGCAAGAAGTAGGCACTAGTTTTTATATCCGAAACATTTGTTTCAATTTTGCCCATATAAGGTGTTTTAGACCAGCTTCTGTTAAATTACTGATATGGCCTGCTAGAACGGAAATGTCTCTTTCTATTTCTGTCTTAAAGAAACCTCTTGAAACTTAACCCAATTATTAAAATTAGGAATCATGCTACTTCCCTCTTTCAAAGAGAAAGAGAAGCATCACACAAGCCTGCTGCAAGACTATCACCAGAGCAACAATTTCAGTCACCAAGATCCTGTGTTGTAACTAGAGCTTGTTTAGACTTTCCTTTCAAGTGGAAAAGACAGTATTTTGGCTTCATAAAAGCTAAACAGATTTACCAGCATGAGAAACCTGGACTTTGGCCACAAGTGCACAGGAGAAGAAAACTGCGTCTGGCAAAATCCCAAGCTAAATTTTTCTTTTAAGACACACAGGCAATGACAGGACAATTTGCTGCTTTGGTCACTGCAGATTGTTCATTTTACTCTGCAGGGAAACAAAAAACGCCACCATCATTTATCCAGCTGGAAAGGGACACTTTGCTATGCAGAGCAGGCTGTCTGCACTGGCTGGTGCAAAAGCTGCTTTAGAAGCTGGAGCAGGGCTCACCTGAAGATGATGTTGCTGTGGGAGCTGATGTTTTTCCCTCCATACATGGAAAGAATCCAAGAGGGGCGAGGCCTCACTCCCCACAGCTTGAAACACTCCTCCGAAAGGGCATCAAAGTCCCACTTCTGGGGCTCAAACATGTCATTGACACCATCTGTGCACATGGGCATCACCATCTCAGTGCAAGCCTGAAAGAAAGAGCAGGGCGACACGATGCACTCCTGGGAGGCTGTCCAGGAACAGCGGGTGCAATAGTTAAGTGAAAAAAGCTCAGACAAGACTCAATCCACCAGTAATTATTGAGCTATCAGAACATGGATAAAGCAAAATCTTTATTTTTCAGCCACAAATCATTCCCTGGCCTTAGTGGTTAACAGCTAGGGGAAGAAAAAAAAAATTGCATGAAGGCCTCACACTATCCATATCTGCTAGGGCAACTACAGAGTTTACTCTCGCTTGCCTTCTTCCCCAAGTGCCTTCAGAAGTAGGGAGGAAACAAGCTGCAGATTGGAGCAGTGGTTTTTATGAGCCCAGCTGCCACACTCTCTTTTTAGCCATGTGCAGGGGAAGGGAACCCAGTCAGGGGCAGCCTGTCACAGCCTGCACACCAACTCTAACAGCTTGGTTGCTCAAACAGCTTAACTTGCATCCAAGTCTCTTGGATGAGACTTTACTATAGAGATGCACATTTCTGTTGCCTGCTCAACAGGAAAGAAGGTGTCTCAGGGAGATACGGCATAAACAGCTTTAGTTGAAAGAAATTTGTATTAATACATCCTGGCATACAGAAATTTGTATCAAAATCTAATAACTATTTTCTACAATGAGAGCATTGCATAGTACTCTGTTACTCTTATAAAGAAGCTTGAAGGTTCAAGTTGTGAACCAAAGAGAAACATACAGATCTAGTGACTGTTTGGAGAACACCTAACAACATGAACTGCCCATGAAATTGTCTATGAAATTGAAATCACCTCATTCACAGAATCCCAGAATGGTTGAGCTTGGAAGGGTCCTCTAGAGTCCAACCAACTAGTCCAAAGTAGCAACTCCACTTCATTCCAATCGACCCAAACCAATTTACATCTAGCCCAAAATGTTGACGCTCTAGAGTCCAACTAGTCCAAAGCAGCAACTCCACTTCATTCCAATCAACCCAAATCAATTTACATCTAGCCCAAAATGTTGACAGTTAAATGACTGTTCCCACGAGCTCCAGAACCACAAAAAATCTCATGGGGCTGCATTTAGAGAGGACAGGATGCCTACCTGGTAGTACCAGCCCATCTGGCCCAGATTCTTGGTGGCGGTCTGAGACATGTCAAAGCAGGAGGCTTCTCCTGAGTAGTTGTAGTAGACATTTACCGCCTGGAAAACATTCTGCAGCAGCTGCTTGTCTGGAAGACTGGGATCCGTCAAGAATTTGCAGACTACCTATTATAAAAAAGGAAGATGGGAATCTCAATCTGCAACAGATACAAATTGAAATGCTATAACTGATATTTTTCTTTTTTTTTTTTGAAATTGGTCTTCTGTGCTTCAGGATATTATCCTTCTCTGAAATTATTTACCCTATGCATTATACTACTATTATTTATTTTGCTGCTATTATATAATAGCATTACAATATTCTTGCTTCTTCATATTTGGAAAATATAAGGTAATATAATGAAAAACTATTTTGTTGCTGGTAAATTAAGAGGGCCCTTGAGTAAAGTTAAACTCAGAATTTTAACTGGGGACAAGCACACACTAGAGCTGGAGAAAAACAAACAAACAGAACGCAGAAAACCCTGAAACCATCGTACCAAAAGGATTTTTCATCTCAGAAAGTGTAGAAGAGACAATATGCTTCCTGGCAGGTCTTCCTTCTTACTGCTACTCTCATGGGGTTGGGACAACACAAGGACAATGAAGGGAAAAGCTTGAGCTCCTAGCCCAGCTGCACAATCCCAAATTATTCCTGCAAGGAGCAAAGGATGCACTGCAACTCTAGAGCTGTTCAAGTACAGGGTTATATGCACACGTGGTGTGGATTCCTACTGGTTATTAATGGGTGACTGCAGGAAATTAAAGTAGCAGTAAATTGTGCTTCTTTGAAGAAATTAACTTATCCTCCATGTCTGCCTTGTTTAATCTTTTCCCTCTTTTCTCTTGTGGAAGCTCTAAAACGGATCCCTCCCTTCTTCCCAACAGAGAAGGCCAACACACAGCTCTTGTGTCACCACCCCAGTGGGTTTTATGGTTTGGGTTTCTCAGCCTGCTGATCTGCACTCAGCAGACAGCGGTGCGGAGAGCTGACCCTCTCGTGCAGACACATAGCCGTACAGAGGGCTACAGGGAGCCCTGTGCATATTCAGCTACTCTAACACACTTTTCCCCCCTTTTCACCCTCGGATTAGCAGTCCCATTGCAGAGAAAGCACCTGCACAGCTTGTATCACCTGGACTTCATACATCGGCTTTGTCCAGAAGAGCAGAAGCCTTTTCTATTTTAGGCCTTTATCTCAAACAGAAATAGAGTGAACAGTGGTAAAGGTGAGCACACTTCTTATGTTGCATTAGGCTGATAAGAAAGCAGAAGTTATCTCAAAGTGTTCATTCTGTCCTCTGCAGACAGCCACATGGGACAGACAACTGTTCATCCCCTTCTCTATTAGCCAGCTCTAAACAAGGGGAATACAGGAGGCTTCACTTTATTCCTAACAACTACCACTTAGCAGCAAAAATGTAAGTGCCATTTTATTCATCTCACCTGGCATACATGGTACCCAAAGACACACAGGGAAATTCAGTCAGGGACGAGAACAAACAAGCTCCAAGGAAACAGAAATAATGGAGGAAGCATTAAAGATAATCAAAACCCCAAAATACAGGTTTGTAGGTGTGAAAAGTTGAAATTGGCTCCTGAAGATAAAGGTGCTAAGTTACCTGTATGGGCCAAGCTGGCAGAGGCTGTAAGAAGTCAGCTTTGTAGGGATAGTCCACCATAGCCAAGTTCACCCAGGTCTCACTCAGCCAGCTCTTCAATACAGCAGCATCCTGAGGAGTTTTTAATGGGCTGCACAAGTGAAATGTGCTGGAGAGCCACTGCAAACCTGCATCTTAAAAAAAAAAAAAAAAAAGGGAGGGGGGGCAGAATTAATACCTAATGCATCTGTGTCAATCACACATAGGCCAGCTGTATTGCTGTTTAAAAAACTTCTTTAGTGAAATTATTCCATGTACTCACAAGCATAACAGACTAAAATTTATTCAGAATCTATTCCAGTGAAAAGAAACATCCCTAACCTGAAGTGTACGGACTGTATGCCACAGCTGAGTTACCTTTTTGTAAAATAATTCCCCAGTTCAGATTTTCATGCTAATCAGCTAACTGGTGATACTGGCTTTCTCGTGTAGAATTCTGAACTGAAATGGCAAGAGAAGAGGGCCTTTTTTTCTTTCTTCTTTTTTTTCTCTCTTTAAATTCCTGTGCTCTACAGTGACTGCAGTTGATACAGTCACCCAAGTACCAAAACAATACGAACTGCTATGATTTTCTATTTCCTGCTGCCTCTATTCCTATTTACACTACTTCTTAGAACAGATATCGCTCACTCAGCTTTGCCAGAAAGGAATACAAGCTTTGAAATTCTGATCTTAGAGATGTTTGGACCTGGATTCTGAAGCACACCAGATAAAAAGGAAGCAATTAAGCCAACAAGACAGACTGATTCAAAAAATAACAGTGAGTCTATTTCAGTTTTGCGTGACTAAGTACAGTCTCAAATATATATATTTATAAATATACACTCTCAAATGCATTATATATAATATTATATACACAGACAAGTACAAGTCATAACACAAGCTCACTGATTTTATGAAATCATAATATAAGCCTGAATATGGTTATCCTTGGGATAAAGAAGTATTGAGAGGTCCTACCTGTTGAAGAAAGATGGTTAATGGCATTCCAGGAATTCCGGATGCTTTCAGAGCAGCCCTTCCCACTCTTTTTGAAATCATTAGTCACTATACTGAAGTAAGTGCCACAAGGAACCAAATCACCAAACTGCCAGATTGGGGCAGAGGCTGCCAGAGCTCTGCAAATGCACAGAGATTGTCTGGTGAAACACAAGACTCCTGAGCCTCTGCAAAGAGACCTTCCCTCCCTTGGGCAATACCCTCTGCACAGCCTCTGTCTAGGCAGGATTTGTAATTCTGCTCAGCCACCCCTGAGCTGAAGTAACCATCATGTCGTAAAGCCCTTCCCCAGGTCTGCATACAAAGGCTACTGACCTTTACCAGCCTCAGATGCTAACACAGAGACATTGGAGATACATGAATTAGAAGATCAGAGTTTGCTTATTTCATATTTCATTTCCATTTAGCATCCAGGACTTGAACATACTCAACTAAAGTGAGATTCCCTGCACATGAAAACTTATTCTCTAGCAGACCGGGGCGGGATCATTATTCTTGTTTTCCAGGGGGACAACTGAGGCATTAAAGAGGTTGAAGTCCTGCCTCAAGTCACCAGGAAGTCTATTACTAAATTAGGAATTCAACACCGGAGTCAGAAGCCTAGTGTCACAAGAACATTTTGCAATGATACTGAATAGAGTCTGATGTAAAACCAGAGAGGTAGGGGATGACGGAAAGGCTGAAATCAAAGGAATTAGAGATCTTTACAAATTCAGTCTTCACAGTGACTATTCCTATCAAACTAAGAGACAGATCTGAAAAGCCACACACCTTGCGTGCTAGTGCTTGCTGCCCTACAGTTCTCCTTATAAGGAGGAAGTGCCTCTTCTCAAATTCAAAGCAAATTATTTTCTCTTTCCAAAGGTGAAAAATCCAAGCCAGATGGAACTGTGCCACAATATTTATAGGACTCAACCTGCAAAAGCCCAGGATGATGACAGTTCTGTGCTCCATGGGGACAAGGACACTCACCCAACTACTGCATGAGGGTACTTCATTCGAAGCCAAGCTGCCAGCATCCCCCCATAGGAGCCTCCAATTGCGATGACGGGGCTAAAACGGGCTCCTACAATGTTCTCCTTCAAGTACCCAATCAACACCGCAAAATCAGCCAGCGCTTGCTCTGAGGTCAGGAAATTCAGATGCTTGGAGTCCTGGGGCAAAGCAAGCAGGTTATAAGCAACATGGGGAAGGCTTCCAAAACCAGCCCTTCTCCTTGGAGGAGCTAGGAAGTTCTCAGTCTGGGCCTGATAGCAAATGTAGTATTTCTTGTAGGTGTTTATTGAAATGCTATAAAATGCCAAAGTTTTTTTTGTTTGTTTTTTTAATCCTAGAATTAAGAGTTGCAAAAAATATTTGGTCATGTGCTTCTGAGTCTTACTTGTCTTATTCAGGCAAGCAGTCATTGCACTACCAAAAATCACAACAGGCAGATTTATTTTAATACAGACCACATCTAAAGAGTGAGGGAAATAAGACACTTACACTGAAAGACTCATTTCCAAAGGGCAAAGATTCTCCATAATATCTATGTTCAGCAAATACTAACATGGCACTAAGTTCTTCAGCCACATCCCACATGAAACCCTGGCAAGAGAGAGAAAAAAAAGACATTTTAGCAAGTTAAGAATGAAGTAGTTCAAAAGGCCTGCTTTCAATTTAGTTTACCTGAACACACATTCTCTGATATGGAAGACATCACGATCAAAATATAGCTAGAAAGACAGTGTATAATTTGGCTTTATGGTATCCCGGAAGTAAGAAAATACACATGGCAGATATCCACCAGCAGACATGCAAACGTATATGTGTAAATAAAAATGCAGCAAAGCAGTAAGCAGCACTGTTTTGTGAGGATGCACTCAGACAATCCCACCAGAACTCCTGTGGCACAGGGTTAATTCACAAAAACAAACAAAATGGTCTTTGATTTCTATGAACTTTGAATATAGCCATGAACTCCTTAAAACATTCCCTGTGCATTTTTTTTTTCTTTGCCTGATTTCTCTTTCTGTAAACATAACTTTCACCTTAGATGATATTCTGATACTGTCTCCTTGCTCTTCCATATTTTTTCACTGCTGAAAAGGATTGTAATTCAAGAAGAATTAGCTCTACACATACCGTGTTATTGCAGAACCATGTGATGTCTCCTTCATTGCCTGTATAAAACAGTATTGGTCCATTATCTTTCTTCCAGTGTTGATCCGCTATCAGGTATCGCTGCTGGAATGTAAGATTTTCATCAAATCCAAAGTGATCAACCTATTAAAGCAAGAAAAAACAACATCCTCAGAAAGTTAGAATAGATCATGCATTGAACTGCAGGTAGTAGCAGTCACCTTGCAGACAAAAAATAAAGTGAAAAGTTTTACTAAGGTCATAAATCTAAAACCAAATTCCTTTATATTTGTGGTTTCCTAATGCACAAAAATCTGTTTTCTTCTGTCTTATGAAAGGAAACCAACCAGAAAGGAGAAGTGTATTTTCAGGTATAAGATATGTATACCCTTTCTACAGTAGTATATGTGATGGACATGTTCTAAATGTATTCAGGAAAGACAGACAGATCTGAGGAATCACACAGTTTTCAGAGGAGACTGTACCCATTGGTAGAAAGTCATGGTCCCCCAAAATTCAGAATCTTAGAAAAATTCCTGACTTACCTTAGCATTAAAAACAACAACAACAAAAGTTTTCTATCTCTCTTCCTTTTGGCATAGGGTTGAAATTTAAACAGATTCATATCAAAATGCTGTATTTGCTTTTCTTTTGCTTTCTGTTTAATTCTTAGAGGCAGCAAACCCTCATTCTCTGCAGTTCCCACACTGACAGATCATGCAGTTTTGTCAAGTGTCTCCTGGCAGTTTTCACTAGTTCGCACACTCTCCCGAACCCCCCTTTCCACCTCCCACTTTTAGAAGCATCCTAAGCCTTTAGGCATCATTTAAACCCCACGAGTCCCATGGCATTAGCTTTATTGCCTCAGCAGAGAGGCACTTTCTCAGTTCTGACTTTGGCCACCCTCCTTGCGGGGCCGTTTTGCAGCCCCGCGCAGCGCAGGCAGTCGGAGCCCGACACCTGCCGGCCCCTCGGCCGTCCCCATGGCCCCGGGCTGCCCGGGCAGCCGCTCTGCTGACGAGCTCTGGTTTGAGGGCGTCTCTAAATGAGGGCTTTAAAGAAGCAACCGCGGCAAGTCCGAGCACGCAGCTGCCCGAAGTGGTGAACGCGCTGCCGGGCTGATTCCCCCAGCTCAGGAAAGGGAGCCGGACTCTTATCCTGCTACTCTACACAAAACATCCCACTTCACTTACCATAAAAAGTATAAACATTTATCTATGATATACAGCCATATTATTGCACACGTAATTAGGAGGTTTTCACTGAATTCAGGTCTTGACAACATATATTGGGTTGATTTTATGTGGATTACTACCTTGGTGCTTTTTCAAGTGCACAGCCATTATTTTATTCATTTAAGTCTCACCTTTTACATTAGGTATAATTGAACACGACTCCCAGGAAGGTGGAACAAACTCAGCAACTGACAAAATAAGCACCTTTGACACCAGGCTGACGTTATTCAATGAAATAATGCCCAAAAAAGATGCTATAGCCCAACTTACACTTTCAGTTCTCATGACATTGAAAAATTAGGATAGTAAAATTCAGTTGTGTGTATTTTTTTTCTGAATTATTTGTTCCCACTAAATGGAGAAGATCAAAACTCCAATCCTCTAGTGAGGGTCTCCCAGTAGCAACAAAGAGCAAAGAACTGGAATTTCAGTTTTTCTTTGACAGTTTTACTGGCCAAGTTGCCTGCAATCAGCTTGAATCCACCCCTTGGCTCCCAGGACATGGTACAAGTTCGCTCACTGCCATCAGTTGCTTCTCTCTAGAAGTGACTAGAAGCACAAGATCCTAATACTCAACAGGAGAGCAAGAACTTTATTGCTAGATGATGCTGTTTCTCATCTTGTAGCAACTTGTCTTTGCAAAGGTAAGACATCTAATATGAGCAGAAAATAAAACATGCTGGAAAACAGAAAAAAAGACATCGACATCCCAAATACCAGGTACTGAAACCTGAAGAATTTCTGGATCTCTGGTGAACATGCAGTTTGGAAGGTCCAAGGAACATCTCACCAGGCGAGATACGTCTGAAACGTGCAAGGACAGACTGAAGGAGCCCAAGCACCACCATAAAACTGCAAAGTGAAATACTCCGACTCGAAGGGGAAGCTGCGATCCAAGGACAGCAGATGGAGCTGTCACTTCTCCAAAGGGTCCACAGGGATCTCCCTCGGGGACAGCTCCCTGCTCTCCTTCAATGTACAATTTACCTTGTTATGTAGCACAGAACAAATAAATGCCATCATGTGTCAAACCACATTTTACAATTCAAGTTACTCAGATTTCTTTTTTTAAAGAGATTTTATAAAAAAGTAAAGTAGAAATCTTCTTTTCCCTTCTTATGCAAAAGCAGTAAGACAAGAACACCTACTTTAGCCAGGCTAAGAAGACAGAACAGAGTAAGAGCAAAAGAAGAAAACATTCCATAATTTTGACAGTACATTCAAAAAGTGAGGATAAATATAAGAAAGAGTACTGGAAGTAATATAAAAGAAATTTAAGGCACCCTTTTCTAAACTGGGGCAAGCAGAACAGGAAGAGTTGGAGAGCTGCAGCCCTGAGCAGCCGAGCTCGGTGCTTGGCATGAGGAGCTCTCTGGCCTGGGCCACCGAGCAGCCTCACGGGAAGGAAGGGCCACAGGCACCTCAGCACCTTCCGCTCCAAAATCAAGGACGGTTCTTTGACTTTACCTTATATGTACATGTGTATCATGTGCTTATGCTAAACGGTCAATGATAATTTGTTTTTTTCTGTATTTTTGTTTTGAATGGACTTCCCAAACTAGCTGCTCTGCCACACGCTTCTCTCCTGGGGAGCAGATGAAAAATAAACGCACAACAGATGTTAATAGACAGATGTTAATCTGCTTAATATACTCCTGGGATGTGCCCAGAAACTACAGGAATGAGCAAAGTGTCAAAAACAGGACAAGGGGCCTAAAAAAGCACTTCCTCCTCAGCAACACCTTCAGCTCGTTATGGAGCATGGAGTCAGGCCAAACAAGCTGAACTTCCTCCGAGAGGATTTCACTTCACAGAGCTGAGTCTAACAACAAAGCTATGTAATTTATTTGTTCCAACTCTTATGTTTCTGGCAAGATTAAAGCTTCTGAAAGCTCTTCTGCCAGCTCTTGTGTTCCAGTTCTCCAGTAGCTTTGGTTTCTCAAGCTTGGATATTCCATATGAAATGGAGTCACTTAGTTGTTTACTGGTGAGAAGCCAGAAGATTTTAAAAACTTCCACCCTCCGGTGTTCACAGAGATGTTCTGAGCGCTCATCCTGTCTGAATTACTTCCTCAGGACAGGAGGATACAGGAGAGCCCGAGGATATCCTCTGGCCATGAACAGCAGCGGGGGCACCAGCCTCTTTGGGATTTCAGTGTTTCTATTCCTGCCTTTTCCTTACCAGGCTGTAGGACTTCGGGCTGATTAGTTGGCCCGATCATTTTTGTTTCCTCTCAAGATGTTTGTTTTTCCTTATAGGCTGATGCTATGAAGGTTAGCTTTGCTTTTCATCTTTCCTGTTGTAAGCAGGTATTCTGCAAGATATTATCATGGAATTCTGCATTGCTTTCTTGAGAGGCTGGTGCTTGCGCATGGGGCAGTAGAGATTAGCAACAGCCTGCTGAAACACGTCATCATTTGATGCTTCACAGAAGACAAAGGGAGACAAAGGAAAGTAGAAAGGAAAATAACTTCAGGGACAAAATGTTGATGCCACTGAAAAGTTTTCAACTCCCCATAACAGCAGAGCAATTCAGAAGTTTTGAACATTAAATATACTTCATTGATCATTATCATAATTCATTAGGTTTTTTTAAACACAATGCAGGCACAACAATACATGCTTTTTATATATTAATTGATCCAGGTTTCCATCCAGTTGGTGACACTCTAGAACAGTTACCATTTTTCCCCAGCTGCCAAATGAGCTCCCTGAACGAAGTTATTGTTTGCACCAAAATAAATGCAGGCTTAAGAACATCCTCAGGCAAGCACCTTATGGCTACACTTTCACGAACACATTGGCCTTTACTATAATCGAGCTTCATGTTTTTACTGAAGCTTCTTTTATGCTGCAGAAACTGTGTCATCTGCTCTAAAGAGGCTGTAACCATTCAAGAAAGCCTGTTTTTAGCACTCCTATTGCTGCAATTAAAAAGCACCAACAAGGAAACTCTCAGACTTGATCTCTCCTATGGCTCTTTATCGTATAGTTTGGTCAAGGCCAATTTCAAAGAACAAGACTGAAAAAATGCTTGAACGGCTACATGGGATGCGACTCGATCTCTCCTATGGCTCTCTATCGTATAGTTTGGTCAAGACATTTCAAAGAACAAGACTGAAAAATGCTTGAACGGCTACATGGGATGAAAGCAGCAGGTTCTTGTCTTGTCAGGCCTCATTAGAAA